GGCATATGTGACAGTGGTGACACGGTCTGCATGACTGGTTTGGTGGTAGGCCAGTAAAGATCAAAGATTTGATACCATTGACTGGACCCCTGACCAAAATCCAACAGAACACCCCTGGGACATATTGCTTCGATTCATCTGAAACATCTTCCTTTTAGCAGTTAACATTTTCCAGCAGGAACAAGAGCTTCATTTCTGCAGAGGAATCATTAAGCTGAGTCTTTTCAGGTCTATCATCATCACTCTCAAATGAACCTGCTAAACTTGTAGAATTGTTTGTAAAAGTCCAGGACACTATTTCCACAAATGATTTTAATGTACAACAGCAGTGACATGCAGTTTGAATAAATGTGTTAGCTACTGAAATATTTCTGCCTCAGACTGTACAGTTTAAATATGTCAGTTGTTGTGTCTCTGTGGTATTGTAATGCAAAACATGAAATTATAAAAAAGCTCTAATAATATGCAGAGGAATAAACACGGTAGACCTTCACATATATTTGTTGTATCTCTGTTTGCTACATTCTTAAAATTAGCAGGGTAATACTGAAAATTCAGGAATTCAAAGTAGATAGCCGTCTCGCTTCAGGTGTAATAGGAAAGCAGTTAGCCTAAAGCAGCAGCTAGTTTCCTTTCAGTTTGAACCCTTTACCCAATTTGAAGAATTATAAAGGAGAGCAAGGACCCACTCCTATCTTACACCTCTCTTATTTTGTCTGTCCTTGACTGTCACCGTCCACTCACCTTCATCACAGTCTCAAACATGGGGAGGAGGACGAATTTGATGAAGCCAGTCTGGGCTGTTGACTTGGTGACCTTTTCTCTGTCCATGAACGGAGCCACAGGAAGTCCCTCAGCCTTCTCCCTGTCACTCTGAGCAGCACAAACACATATTTTCCATAAGCAGCTCACTTTTTTTGTCCTCCTACTAAAGTAAATGAGGCTAGAGTTCAAGTGACTGCAGGTGTCTCATTGTTATTTATTAACCTTGTGTAGCATCACAGCTAACCAGAACTTTCTGTGTACAAATGAAACAGACTTTGGAATGCTGCCTGCTTGTATTCAAATGCTCCTTGACTGCTATACCTACCTGCATGAAGTACTCCTCCAGCAGGCAATCGACCCAAGGCTCAGCCACCTCCATGGGCCGCACTTCATTGGAGATGTCACAACATTTGATAAGTACCATCTTCAGCTGCAAACAACACAGGGTCAGAGGGTCAAGGCTACCATGAATGCTGATGTAGCTAAGTACATTTGCATATTTTTCAGTAATCTTTTCCATTGGACAGGCTGGGGAATGAACTAATCTTCTCTCTCTCTTCCAGTTTGCTCAGCAAAGTGAAGCAGGAGTTACCAATCACATTATTTTCATTTTACTGTCTGTCCTTGCAAGACTGATACTTTATTTACTAACTGTCCAGTTACTGAGTTTTCCACATTAATCTTTAATTCATGTGTTATAATTCATGTATTTGTTGGTTGAGATTAGCTGATCCTAACTGTAGGTGACAGCACCAAGATTTATTTATAAATGTGTCCTTACGCAGGCAACATGCTCCTTATTTGTGTAGTCAAAGTTGTCAACTTTCTGCTTGAAGGTTTTTAGGATCTCACTGTGGCGTGCCATGTCTGTGGCCAGGATCAATGTGATAGTTTCCTGATAAACAAGACAAAGGAAATAAATCATCAGTATAGACACGGAGAACTCAGTGTCTTATGCTATTTTCTGTAGATGTAGTTTAAGATAAAGAGCATGGTGTGAAATAGTCTTAATTAGTCATTTAAATCTAATTTTGAAACAGTTGGATGTAAAATGTGAATTAAAACAAAATGCAAATTGTAAATGTCATATTACCACAATCTAACATTCACACATATTCATAGATGCATCAGAGGACAACTTGGGGTTACTATTTTGCTCAAGAATATTTAGCATGCAGACTGGAGCAGCCAGGATTTAAACCACCGCCCTTCTTATTAGCACATACAGTAACCTGCACTACCCCCTGAGCTACAGTCACCCCAGCCACTAGGGACAGCCACAATGTCCATAGCACTGAGAAGCAAGTAGAAGGATGGCTGAAGAACACTGATAGATGTGGATTACATGGGAGTTTAAGGCCAACATGGCCTGTTCCCCAGGTTAATGTAGCCCATGACAGTGCATGCTGTCCCATTTACTGTACTGAAAGGAATGAAGTAAAAGATCAACAAGTACCTTAGCAGGTGGCTGGGAATCTAGATCTAGAGAACTACAACTACCCCTCTCACTGAAAGGTTGAGTGGAAAGAATATCAGGTTATCTTGACTTTCAGAGACTCAAGAGACATGAGGTCAGAGAAGCAGGGATAAAACCCAGATCGAACAAAGATGAAGGCCTTGTACATCACTGTCCCAAGCAGAAAGAGTCCTGAAGCACCTGTTAAATATTTTGTGCAGGGTCTCATCAAATAATAATATAATTATTTTTGCCATTGTAGTGCATGTATTAACCCAAACAATACTTCTGTTTCTGCAGCTGCACATAAGTACCTGTCGTATCTGTTTAAAGGCCTCAGGGTCAAAGTTGAAGAATATGTTGCAATCAGGCTGGGAGAAAATCTGGAAGGCCACAGCACAGTGGTGGTTCTCCAGAGGAGAAATATCATTGTAGCGAAGGGCCATCTCCGTTCTAGCGTTGATCTGATACCTGCGGAGGGAATTATGACAAAGAGGATCAATAAGAGGAGTGAGAGGCACAGGGACAAACGTGACAGGAGGAGAGAGACTGAAGACTGAGTTAATAGAAAATTGAAAACACAAAGAACTTCCTGTTTTAGTTTGAAAGGTAATTGTCTCATGTTCTATGGCTGTGTCCCAATTCAGGGTCTGCACGCTTGAAGTACGCATTTTAAGTGTGATTACGTCACCGCCACGCGACGACGGCTGTCCCAATTCGAAGTGTACTTCAAATGGATACTCCAAATGCGCCGTCGATTTCCCCAAATATCAAGCGTGGTCCGGTGCACGCTTCGTGGTCCCATATATCCCACAATTCATAGCGCGGCGGTGGGTGTGGATAATTTTGCCGCAAAATACGGCAGACGGGAGCGGCTGAAGAGTGAACTGTCAAAAGTAAGTACTGAATATGATGTCACTTATTTATGTGCGAATGTTTAATAACGAAGAACATTAAAACATTGCTGTTGGCCACATGTCGGCAAAGTTATGTGACATTAGTGATGTCTGTACTTTCAGCATTAACTGTACACACACACATATTTATATATATAAAAAAAAAAGAAAACACCCAGCTCGCCCCTGCGGGCGTTTTTATCCTTCAAGCTCGGGTCCTCTACCAGAGGCCTGGGAGCTTGAGGGTCCTGCAGTATCTTAGCTGTTCCCAGGACTGCGCTCTTCTGGACAGAGATCTCCGATGTTATTCCCGGGATCTGCTGGAGCCACTCGCCTAGCTTGGGAGTCACCGCACCTAGTGCTCCGATTACCACGGGGACCACCGTCACCTTCACCCTCCACATCCTCTCGAGCTCTTCTCTGAGCCCTTGGTTGTTTCGCCGTCATTGTGGATGTTGGGTATCAAAGAATCCATAGGTCCCGCATCCTATTCATGTAGCCCCTTCTGCCGGGGTTACTTGCGTAGTAGCATTCCAACAATGCCCTGTTTTCGTCTCTTGCCCACCGATGCCTTCTTGTTCCAGTAGCCCACTTTTCGTCAGGGTGCCCTGGTTCCTCAACACCTGATGCGGACCTTGTTGATCCGGGCGACGTCCGAGCCGGCATGCCTTCATATTTATCTGTCTCGCTCATGTCTGCGGTAGGCTTGCTTAGCATAGGGGGTCTAGCCTTAGGACCCTAAGGTGCGTACTTATAGTACGCACCGTACGTAGTACACGTAGTGCGCGTACTTCAAGCGTGCAGACCCTGAATTGGGACACAGCCTATCCCATATGAAAAAGATATATATAAATCTTATAAAGTTTTTATCTGTCTTGTATGAAACTTGTATGAAAAGCATACAAGAGTGAAAACACATATAAGATCCCTTGAAAAATTATATAATGAAACTTGTATGTTTTGGATACTTACAAAAAAATATATGAACGTAATGAGAAAGTGGCCACTTTCATGAGTAAATCATATATGTTTTTACTATTTCTTTTCCATATGGGATGTCTCATTCCCTTCTCAGCTCTCTATCAGTGTGTAGACTTGTCTTTTACAAATTGTTTGTACACATACCTGTTATTCTTTTTTTCATCCTCTATCCTGTTACTACAATTATTTGTGCTATTTTGATGTAGTTTTTTTTTTTTTTTTAATATTTCTATCCCTTTGACTTATCCTCTCAGTTTAATACTGCACCTCTGTTTGTCCTATTGAATTGATCTGTTGTTTGTGTAACCGGCATGACTCCAGTGTCTGCATGTATTTGCTCCATGTGATCAAGAATAGAACGGGCAAAAAAGAAGACAGATGACACAGAGAAGCACCATCTATTGCTGCATTTCTGTGTCTTTTCTTACATGTTGTTGAATCCAGGATGATCGAGGTCATGACACACAGCAGCTGTCATGAGAGCCAGAATCTCCATCTGAGTAAACTTCTCCTAAAACATAATATAAACATTGGTTTTATTTTAAAAAAAAAAAAGTAAAACACCAAAAATCTTTATTACTGGGG